CGGGGTGATTGTTGTTCAGGAAGTCGATCTGGACGGCGAGGTATTCGAGTAGGTCATCCCAGTTATGGTTCGAGGGAGAGCGACAAAGGCAGCAAATAAATTTGGGTGATGTTTTGAGTTGAGGCGAAGCCACATAATGTCCTTCCGGTCTGATTCCAAAGAAAGATCCCTGGAGCAGGAAAGACTGCTGCGGACAAAAGCCACAACTCCCCCGTTCTTTCTCAGATTGGAGTGCACCTCGTAGTTTGGGAAGTTGAGATGGTTAATCGGTGCTGTCTCTGAGATTTTTGTCTCCGCCAAGAAAAGCACGGCGGGACGATTGGATTGCAGGTAGTGATGAACAGCATCAATGTTGCTGTTGATCCCGCAGATGTTCGAAAAACAAATTTTATCTTCGATGTTGTTCCCTCGAGCCCACCCTCCACCCGGACATTCCGAGAGTGGAGTGAGTTTACGTCCGTTTATGTCATAGAAAAACTTTGCCTTTCATTTCAAGAAAGGGTAGAAATAACAAAACTGTATTTCTAAAACGGGAGCATTGCAAGAGCTACTGCTCGGTTGTTTAATGCATTACATCCAGAAAAAAATATTATCGATAAGTATGTGGCTAAGTTGATATGAAAATTTGAAGAAATTGGATCTGTGTCTAATATTCGCAGTAATCGCCATCGAGAAAAGACATAATTGTCGATATTGCATTGGCTCGAATCCATATTTGTTTCGAGAGGTACACTCGCAATATCATGAAGAAGTAAACTTGACGGGCGAGACGTATTTGGACATGTTAGAAAATATAATATAGATACTAATTACCGAAATAAAAGAAAAATACGTTAATTACAATGAAAACTACATTCATTTCCAACAAGATGGTGCACCGTCGCACTATGTGGCTCCAGTACGACAGTTTTTGGACACCCATTTCCCAAATCAGTGGTTCGGCAGACGAAAACCCCATCGAGTGGCCGCCGAGATCTCCGGACCTAAGTCCTTTAGATTGCTTTCTTTGGGGGCATTTGAAAACTAACTCTTAAAGTTAACTATTAATGTGAGTGTAAACTCTAAGTTGTGTTTTGTGTTTTTAATACTTGGAGACTTTTTAATTTTAAAGTATATTCTTGTTACTAGGGAAACTATATTGATATTTATTTTCACAAATTCTAGAATTTTATTTTAAACTTAAATAGCTTCACAACGATTATATTATACAAAAGTTACTGAAAACTTCATGGATAATCTAAAAATTAAAATAATGGGTGGTTCTATTCAAAAATCTAAAAATTAACGCAATATACTCGTATTATTTTTGGATCACCCTGTACTGAACTGCTATAGATGAAGAGACGTCCCTCTAGAAAACATAATTGACGTGTCCGAGAGTTTATCTCAAAATACACCAGAACAGTCACAAATGAGGGTGTGACCTTGTCGTTGGGCCACCCTGTACATTAGAAAGGAATAGAATCCAGCTGGCTAACAACGCTGACGCGGAAGGTCGCGGCAATCTGCCGCGTTGCCACTGTGTTACACCAATTCCTTGAATTATGATGCTTGCTGAGAATATGCATTAGTTTATTCTCTATGCCCAAAATGATGGTTTTATTTTGAGCGTATACATTTTTGAATTGAGAATTGTGTCCAATCTGTTCAGAATCGATTCCGGATCGGTCCTAACGGTGCTACATTTTAGGTCGAAATGAACGGTCTGGATCGCCACCAATTCTGCAACATTGAATCACTGGGTTTCTTGACAACGCCGTATCTACATTCCAAGGCAAGGTTTCCACCTCCATACATTAATTATCCAATAAAGGGCTTTTCATTGAAATATGATAAAACACTTGGAATTATAGTAATCATATTTTTTGGTCTAATAGTACAAATATTAACTATTTAAAACCTACTTAAAAATGTGTCTACTAGTATATTTCACTATGTCTATTCAAGCCTGGAACACTCTGTACATAAGGACTTCCAAGTTCCAAATGCACGGGTTGTTGAAATTGTCAACAAAGCATTAAATTGTTTATAGCTGCCAATGTTTTCGCATTCGTTTCCTCGATCATTTTAGTATGGTGTAACTTGCGGGATGTTCGGCACGGGTATTACGTATTTTGATAAGTGACATTTTGTCATTTTTTCGACATTTTGACATACCAAGATGTCAACTTAGCACTAGCTGTTATACACTTGTTGTGAACTCTTTAAGTAAATGTACGTTTTGAATAAACGTCATGATGCTTCAGCTATCAATGTTTGGCTCTGATATGATGTAACATCAGCTTCAGAGATGGCATTAGATGGCTATTATGAGCTGTAAGGAAACGGCAGTGCTTAGGTGCATAGTGAGGATTTGTGTTCTAATAATCTGTGTTGATGATAATTCCATTGGTTTCTTGTCTCAAATACACTTACTTGATATGTATTCAAAGCTAGAAATTAGGCCCGTATCGTCAGTCGTACCTACAATTGTAGGACGCCTTTATGGCCTCCTTGATTTTCAGTCTTTTCTTTCATTCAGAAAGGCTGGGATATTTCCAGATTTCTACTGCTCCGTGTTAGCGTCAGCGCTTTCCTATTGTCAGGCATGTTTTCTTCTTAAATTGTAGTAAATTTCAGGCTGTATAACAAATGATATAAATCAAAACCGTGAGCAATTTGATGCAAATAAATATTTGTAACATGACCTCAAAATAGCGCGCTGACTCGGAATAGTAGAAAGCTATGGAAATCAAGGAGGCCATAAAGGCGTCCTACAATTGTAGGAACGACTGACGATACGGCCCTTCGTTGCGCATCCACTTTATCATATTCATTCTGAAAATTACATACGCAAACTTGTTGAATTTAAAAAAAAAGAGAGATAAGAAAAGAAAATCCCTAGTTGGTCAAGTATATTACAAGAAACAGGTGAGAAAATATGCTACAGACAGGAATACTTATGAAACGTAAACCTGTTTCCAGGACGGACAACATCTAAAAACCCGTCAGGCACCGCTAATAGATATAATACGAGTACTAGCACAAAAATGTTGGGACATTATCTAACTTTATCTAAACGTTTTTTTTTTTGTAAGGTTAAAAATTAATTGTTTTTCTTATGAGACAATGAAATATATTGATGGCACATCATATTCACAAAACTGTTTTCAAGTAATATGATATTAATAATAATAATAATAATAATAATAATAACGCCTTTATTTGTAGTACAAAAAAGAGACAAAGATAGAGAAGTTTAGCCTAGGCTACTCTTATACTTAACTACCTTCGTCAGTACATTTAGAGCACGATGTAATGTGTGCTACCTAAAATATGTCATCAAAAAGAAAATCAGAGTTATAACTAAACTATAAACAAAGTCTACGGAGGCAGATATTGTAAAAAAGTATGGAGACACAGGTTCAACTCAAGTTTCACGTAAGATCAGTCCTAGAATGCAAAGATCTCTTATTCGTATTCGTTAAGCTGGTCTTTGAGGTATTATAAGGGACATAACAGCAGAATAGAATGAAGAAACAGCAGGAAATGCTTAACGAGGAACGGGCCGTCGGTGGATTCATAAGTCTGGTTTACATGTCTATGAGGTACGTAGGTTGTACTCAAGGGACATCTGGAATATTTATTCTGTAAAATATTTGCTTTAGGCAAAACCAAAGCCATAACTTACGGAAAAACAAAAGAAAATGCGATTAGCGTGGGCTAAGGAATGGGCACTGTGGACTTAAGATCATTTATAGCGATGAATCGAAATTTGATGTTCGTGTGGGTGTCCACCGATCCCGGGTCATAAGAAACAAAAATGAAGCGTTTCATAAAGAGTGACTCTAGAGAAAAGTGAAGCTTCCATCAGGTTTAATGGTATGGTATCTGCTTTTGCCATTGGAAAACTTCGCTTAATGGACGGAACTGTAAACCAATTTGCTAGGGTTAATTCAAATTTTATCTTAGAAACTTTATTTTTCAACAAGAGGGGGCGTCATGTCATACGGCCCAATCCTCGAAAAAATGGTTGCAGGATAATAATATTTCCGTTCCTGGTTAGCCTTCCAGCAGTCCTGATTTAAATATCGAAAATGTATGGCTCAAAATGAAGCAGCAGTTAAGAAATGATCCACAAAGAAACATTTCTGATTTAAGGCAGAAGACTGCGAAAACCTTGTTGAAACTATGCAAGCCAGAATTAATGCTGTTATTAAGGTAAATGGAGACGTAACGAGCTATTGAAATAGTTCGTCCGAACATTTATGTGTCAGACAGAATTGTTCCTAACAATATTAGTTTAGTTTTATAGTTTAATATCATATTACTTGATAATAATTTTGTTAATATGATGTCCAAACAATATACTTCAATGTCTTATAAAAGAAAAAATATTTTGTAACCTTAAAAATATAAATAAACCTTAAGATAAAAATAGACAATGTCCGAATACATATACACATGCAAACCAATACACATAATCATCCAGATGCGATCTTGCTACTCAACCAAATTCCTTTCTTTTCCATCTTCTCAGAGGTAAGCACTACATACTACTCGGCTTTCTGCAATTAACAAGCAACCAACAATGCGTGTCGTCGTTTTAGCCATTCCTCCATAAACGGACGCTTTTGATGGCTCTCACAGCGAGCAAACGTGAAATGAACTGCCAGATAATATTTTGTTAGGTTTTGTGACGTTTCTTAGGTTTTTTACATAATACCCCAGCCGGATTCCTTCAGAACCGTATGAACTTTGAAATTTTGATTTTTTAAACATCGATCTGTGATAGCGTTTAGTCAAATATGGCGTTGAGTAGAGTGACTAAAATAATGGCTGTAATATTATGAATACAATCTAGCTTTAATCCGCTCTACGCGTTTGACTGTGACGCCCTTCAGTCGATTTTCAAAATCTACAACTGTGTAAAAAGAAGGTTACTATATTATGAGAAGCCTTCGAACATATTTTGCATTTAAAAATAATATCGAATTCAGTAGTGGCATGTTTTTACTAACCTCGTCAAAAATGACGTACTCCAAGTCCCTTGTGATATCACTTCCACAGTACAGCATAGATCTCAAAATCTCTGTGGTCATAATTAAGCAAGAGGCAGTCTGGTTGATTTGGAAATCTCCAGTTATTAGTCCAACATCTTTGAATGTTGCCTTGAAATCCCTGTATTTCTGATTTGAAAGTGCTTTTATTGGCGACGTGTATATTGTCCTTGTCATATGCTTTTGAGACAAAGCTATTGCATACTCAGCTACAACAGTTTTCCCTGCCGATGTGTGTGCTGCTACAAACACGTGGTTATGCTGTTCTAGCTGAAGAATCGCTAGTTTCTGAAATATATCCAGTTCGAAAGGAAATCTGATGGCCATATTTGGTATGCGCTCCTCAAAGTCGGTGACTGGTTTTGTGGTATCTAGCAAGACCGCCCATTCACTACCTTTAAGGGAGCTCTGATGATGAGGCTGGACGGTACTGATATTCAGCACTGGAACTTCTTTCAATATTTCTTCTTCTTCGGGGATTATGCTGTTATGGATTGCTGTCGTTTTCTCTTTTTCATCCTCATGTTTCACCGCAAAAGTTCCTAAAAAATGAATAACGTTCCAGTGTAAAATTTCGATAAAGACTATCAAACAATAGTACCAGAAAGGAAGCCGTGGGGGAAAGGACCTCCTATACATGCCAACATAGCTCTGGGTTCCAGGACATGAAGGGCACAAAGGAAATAAAAAGACGGATGAGCTAGCCCAGAGCCTTTCTGTGGCGTGACGAGACCACGAACCATACAGTCCAAAAGAAACTTGACCAAGAAAAAGTCCGTAGAATGGTGGAACGGCTAACTGGGGCAAAGTCAGGCTAAAGACTTCATCAAATAACGAAGGCCCGCATTTACAGAGGACCTACTCGGCTCAATAAGAAGGCCATAAGGGGCATATTAGGTCTCCTGACAGGACACTCGTCTAAATAGACATATGAGACTCTTGGGTCTGGTAGAAGAGGCCACATACCGTTTCTGCAGAAAGCATGAGGAAACACCAGTGCATGGCCTGTGTTATCGTGAAGAGCTGACAAGGCTACGGTTTCAGATAGTAGGAACCACAGGTCCGACAGCCGAAAGTTTCATGCAAGGCCATGTGTCAAGGCTATGGAGTCTGATTAAAGGATCAAGGCTGGACACAGTGCTTTGGAAATTATATAAGGGGGGGGGTGGCAACCCAACCCATTTCTTCTGTGTAATCTGTAAATCTTGCGTGATCGAAATTTACCCTAATCAATTTATAAGCTAGTATATTATTGTTGATTATTTACTTATATATTGTTTTTCTATCTATGTATTTGTTTCTGTGATTTATTGATACTTCATGCAATTGGGTGTATCTGCCTGTTCGAAACAAACTTATATTATTATAGATAATACAAACCTAAAATGTCCTGCTCCTGTTGAACAATCTCTAGAATGTTTATTACATTAGGGCTGTCACTCGAAATAGTTGGCTTGTTTTGGTTTGTCTCATTTAGTAAAGTTCTTCCATCCTCTGCAAACGTAAGGCCTCTATCAAACCCTGGTGGTACTGTAAGCAGGTCTGAAAACAGGTTATTTATGATGATAATAAAATACCGCAGGCTGGTAACAGTCTTGGTGCTGTTGTCATATGAAGGCTTTAGTAACAAACAAAGACCGCTGGAGCGTTGGTGTCACACCATTATCAAATATAGGAACATTTCAATGGACATTGGGTTAACAAATGAGCGCTTACATGATGACCTTACTTATAAGAGCTTCAATGTTTCCCCTCAATCAAAATTCTATATTCCAGATGAAATAAGTCAACTAGTGGCCCAGGATGCCAAGGTAAAAGCCGTAAATAGTGGTTTCTATTTTTTGGTATGAAAATAGTTTACAGTGTACGTTTATTTACATGGTGCTGTAAATAGACATAATTTGTTTCGCGAGGTACACTCGCAATATCCTGAAAACATAAATTTGTGGACCGGCATTTTCGGAAATCATATTGTAGGTCCGTTCTTTATTCCTGGAAACTTGACGTTAGTTATAATGAAAATTACATCAATTTCCTATAAGATGCTGCACCGCCGCACTATGTGGCTCCAGTACGACAGTTTTTGGACACCCATTTTTCAAATCAGTGATTCGGCAGACGAAAACCCCATCGAGTGGCCGCCAAGATCTCCGGACATGAGTCCTTCAGATCACTTTCTTTGGGGGCATTTGAAAAATACAGTTTTTAGTACGAAGCCAGTTTCCATTCACGATCTTCGTCAGCGGATTTCGGCTGAATGTAGATAAATAACTCAAGAAATGCTTGAAAATGTGATTCTAACAAAATCTTTATTATTGCATGGAGGTAAATGGACACCGCTTTCAGCACTTATTACCGCATTGACCTACCTCTTTATAGTAAATTAATTTTGTACTTTAACTTTAATGTGCGTGTAAACTGTAAGTTGTTTTTTAATACTCGGAGACTAGTTTTTAATTTTTAAGTAAAATCTTGTTACCATGGGAACTATACAGGGTGTCCGCAAAGTTGGGGTTTTCCTTTTCAGAAACAACTACCCTTGAAATAACAAAGGTAATGTGTAGTGAAACGAGGGCGACCAAGTTAAAAAAAATAAAGGAAAAAGTACTCACTCTCCAGTTGACGAGAAGGGCTAAGTACGTCTCTGCCCGAAATCATACCGCTCCAACAGAAAATGAAATCAGCTGATGCGCTACCGAGCAGACGCAGGCGGTGGTGCAGACCACGAACAGAGGTAGCAAATATGACCATCGTGCAGAAATCACATTGATTGTCTTAATGGCACATCTTCTAACAAGGAAGGCAAAATGTTGCGTAAAAAGTCTAGGTATTGCATCCCGTCCAATCGATTTGGGAGAACAAATGGTTCAATGAGCATACCGTTCACTATGCCAGCCCAAACATTCGCCGAAAATGTTTGTTGAAATTGATTTTCTACTGACCAAACATGACTGTTGCGAAAGTTATTCACCCCATTACGCGTGAACGTAGATTCGTCTGTCACCAATATGTACTTCAAAAAGTCCGGATTATTGTCATGTTGATGCAACAATCACTCACAAAACCGCACTCTTGCTGGAAAATCGTCAGGTTGAAGGGCTTGTACACGTTGGACGTGAAACAGATACAGCCCCTCTTCACGCAGCGTTTGCCACACTTTAGTTTTTGATACTTGCACTTCTCTAGCCACGTCTCTAGTGCTTGTTGTTTTTTGAAACGCAATCGATTATACGGGTTCGTTTACCTCTACACGCGTGACCGTAACCGTCGGTTGAAGGTTCATACTGACCTGACACACTGACCCCGACCCAGTTCTGTCGTCGGGTTGAGCTAGTGTCCTAGTACCACTCGGGGATGTCGCGAGTCGCGGCTACAGGACGGTATTCCGATATTTTTGATGTTGCAGAGCCCTTTATCTCGGTTCCTTTAAGACATTGGTGTATATGGTACTAAGAAAAATTGCTTATGTTTTCAAGATCTACACGCCGTGTACAGGAAAACCCCAACTTTGCGGACACCCTGTATTGATTATTATTTTTACGATATGATCCCTTATTATCACAATCTCTAGAATTTTATTATATACTCAAATAGCTTCACAAAGATTGAAGATAAGTATAAACTTTATTATACAAAAATTACTAAAAACGTCATGGAGAATCTTATTTTTGGATCACCCTGTATTGTACGGCTATAGATGAAAAGACGTCCCTCTAGAAATCAGATTTGACTTGTCTGAGTGTTTTTCTCCTAAATGTATCAGGAGAGTCACAAGTAGGGGTGCGACCTTTTCGTTGGCCCACCCTGTATATGAGTGTGTATCTAAGTGTATGGACTGAATCATACCTAGGTCGTATCTTGCTTGAGGGGAATTACTAATATTTCATATTTTTGGCATAGAAGTGCCACGAGTTTTTAGACTCAAAACAAGTCGACTGGACATGATTTACTTCTATGCAAAAGTGCTTAGTTTGTCCGTTGAAGGCGTATTTTCTTTATAAAATACATCTTTTCAGATATTTTTGGAACCGATAGTCTAATTTGAATGAAATTTGGCAAACCTGTGTTTTGCTAGACGTCCCAATATCTGGGTTCGAGAAGGGCGAAAACTACACGCACCCCTACAAAAGTTATAGCAGAATTTCCAGATATCAGCACTCGCATATTCGAATATGAACAAGGAGATCAAAAAAGCACTGCAAACCGGATTTTAAACAACTCATTTCTTCTTCTCCCGTTCAGCCTGACCAGGAACTGTTGCGTACTACCATCTCGCACGTTTGAGATTGGTACAAAATGTATGTATCAGAGCGCAGAGCAGTTGATAGGTCATTTCACAAGAAAATTTTGTTTACAGATAGGTCATGTTTTACCCGACGTGGCATGATAAATTTGACCAATACACCGTTTACGGTGAATAAAATCCGCATGCAGTTTCAGAAAGAATTTCAAGGGAAATTTAAAAATAACGTTTGGATTGAGATTTTTGGTAACTTTTTAGTTGGTCCATATATGTTGCCAGATAAATTAAACGGAGATAGCTATCTTCTTTTTCTATAATACGTTTAACCTGAATTATTAGAATAAATGAATGAAAGAAGAGGCATGATGGTGCTCGACCTCACTGTGCGCGTACTGTAAGAAATTACTTGAACGAGAAATTTGATGGAAGATGGATTGGTAGAGGTCAAGAAGCTCCTATTCAATGATCACCTTGTTGCTCGGCATGGGTATCATGTAATAAACCTATAAAACGTCAAACAAAACCTATAAGATGTCATCTTGCAAACTAGTTAGTTTTTAGGGCGCAAACAGTCATTCCACGTTTGCTCACTAGGGTCGTTGTGACGGTTCATCTAAGGAGGAATCACTCAACTAAGCTACACGCATTATTGGTTGCATATGTTTTGTGAGGCCAAATAATGGTCCTTGACCGTAGTTTTTATATCTGAGAAGAAAGTTGGTTGAATAGCCAGATCGCATCTGGATGATTATGTGTATTGGTCTGCATGTGTATAAAATCAGTGATATTTGTTGTGTGGGAAAATCATTACTGAATTGCTGCCAATGAAGTATATCTATTGGCTGTGTCCGATGGGTTATTTTTATGTTGTGCTTTCTGAAGAGAGGTTATGTTCAAAGTTATAGATTACGAAAAACTGAGGAGAATTACGGGAAATTATCACCGTGCCCGCGTTGTGTGTAATTACTGTTAGCATGTATATGGCTTGTAATTCGACAGTGTACAGTGAATATAATTATTTCTTATCTCTGTCATTTTTGAAAAAAAATTCTATATGTAATTTCCAGAATGGATAAGAAAAAGTAGATGCGCAACTAATTTCTAGCTTTGAATCTCAATTAAGAGTATTTGAGACAAGAACCCAATGTAATTATCATCAACACATACAACTTAAAGCTTAGACCTCCAGTAATGCCATCTCAGAAGCAGATTTTACATCACATCACAGCCAAAGATTGATAACAAGCCTCATGACGTTTAGGCAACACGTACAACTAAGTGCTAAGTTAGCATCTTGTAGAAAAACCTTCATAATGTCAAAAAAAATCGGCATAATGTCAGTTTTCAAGATACGTGATACCCGTGCGGATCTTAATCCTTTTAAAAATTTAATCCTATTAAAAACAAAGGTATACGAGGTTCAGATAGACAAGGCCAATCAACTATGGGGCATGATTCAAAATGCTTCAAATACAGAATAATGACATCTTAGAGAAAGTTAACTATATCTTTTTGCACCTTATTGTTATGTACACCAACTAAAAGTGCGAGGTACTGTATCTGGGAACCTATCTATCGTAGAGGCTTGCGGCAAAATAGTTCTTACCATAACGGCCAAGGGAAAAACCTGGAAAGTGTTTCCAAGTTTCTGAAATGGGCGCTAGGGGGCGTAACTGAAATCTTGAATCTAAAAACTGGTTTCTGTGAATTCCGCTATATTATCCTAACAAAAAATACCTGGTCCTTAAAGTCGAGGATAATGTGACTTTTATTTGTTTGACAATTTTTGATGTATCTCTAAAAATGAAGTGGTGAGGGGTATTCAAAGGTTGCCGTAAAAAACACCCTGTATCTTTGAAACGGCTAAGCCGATTTTAACAAACTTGGGTTCGCTGAAAAAAAACTATTCTTGGGCTACAAATCTTAAATATTTGAAGTTGTTTGTTAGTTTCACATGAGGCCTTTAGAGGGCTTTTCGACGTTCCGATAGAAATGGTTAATTTTCCCAAAAAATTAAATACATTGGTATGATTTTTTTCAAGAAAACGTAGCTAAATGTCTAAACAATCCCGTAAATTATTTTTTTAAACTAATTTTTCTTTAATTCTTTTTTTGTCATCAGAATAACATCACCCATTTTAAAAATACCACAAAATATCGCTAAAAGGTAAGTAATGCTAAAAGCAATTTTTTTATTAAATGCATAATTATTCAATTTATACATCAATACAAATACCTAATCAAAACATAAATAATCCTCAAATTGTCAATCGTTGTCAATAGTTTCGTGTTACTTTGAGCAATTTTTCTGCTTACCAAATGCGTTTTACGAACAATGAAGCTGTTGATATGCTTAAAGTTTATTTGAATGTCTTCAGAATGCCGAGAGTTTACGCGACTCGATATCCAAATCGGCGTATTTACGATATGGAGTTTTTCCCCGATTAGTGGAGAGCTTACGAGCCAGTGGTAGGCTTCAGCCTACGTTTCAACGGCAAAGAATTGGAAGAACACATAAAATATTAACCGCGTACTGGGATATATTGAAGGAAATCCTCAATTTAGCACAAGGGTACTGTCCCTTGAGTTGGACACATCACGAACAACGTTCAAAATATTTTGAAGGACCATAAGTAAGTTCTTATGGCAGTCAAAATATCGGGATTTATTTATATTTAACTTTTTTTTAATATCCTTTCATGTCGTTTTGAATCAGGCCTTGAAAGAGGAAAACTTTGATCGGAGGTGAACTATTGGTATTGGATGATACGCTAAAATAGAGAATTTTTATGCCAAAGCCTTTGAACCGATGAAGCCACCTTTAATAGTGACGGGATAGTCAGTTTGCACAATATGAATTATTGGTCTGCAGAAAATCCGCATTGATTGCGTGAAGGTCAACACCAAGGGTGTTGGAGTTTAAATGTGTGGTGTGACATACTGAGAATCAGAATTATTGGGCCATATCTTTCTTGACTTTTTGGACAATCAATTACTGTTGTTCTTAGAAGATGCCACTGGAAATACAGTTGGATGGTTGCCTAGCACATTTTGCTATTATAGTGCGAGATTATATTAATGCAGTATTTCAACAGCGGTGTGACTCTGCTTCCATGGTCTTCGCAGTCACCAGACTTAACTTGTCTTGATTTTTATTTATGCGGACTACAACCAGACAAGATACGAAAAACCGGAGTCGTAATGCAATACGTAACATACCGAGAGTCGAAATTGAAGCTACAGATTTGTTTACACTTGAGAGGCTTCAGGAATGCATAGAACGAGATGGTCAGCACTTAGAGCATTTACCAGGGCATTAAAAACCTTTCTTTTTTGAATCGGTCTCCTTTAGGGCCACAACTTAACAAAAATAAATTCCAGAAAAATTAGTTTAAAAAAAATTAAGGGATTTCCGTATAATAAAAAATAATTTTGATTACCCCCCACCACTTTATTTTTAGAGATACAGCAAAAATTGGAAAACAAAAAAGGTTCAGATTATCCACGAATTTAAAGGTCGGTCTTTTTTTGTTATGTTAATATAGCGGAATTCGCAGAAACATTACTTTTTTAGATTCAAGATTACAGTTACGCCCCTAGCGGCTGTTTCAGAAACTTCTTCTTCTTCTTTCTTTCAGAAAATATCTTCCAGGTTTTTCTCTTGCCCGTTTTAGTAACAACTGTTTTTGCCGCAAGCTTCTACGATGGATAGGTTCCCAGATACACCACCTCGCATTCTTAGTTGGAATGAACTCACAAAACAAATTTTTTACCATCATTTTTTAGTTCATTTTCTTTACTAGCTCCCTTCTGTTCTGGCAATGGAAAGCTTCCAGGCCAAAAAGGTACAAATGATGCATTTCCCCGAGTTGCCTCATTTTGTGGTGCAGGATCTCTATTCAGTGACATGGAATTCTTCGCTGTTGTACCTGCAGATGACACAGGGACCTCCCTGAATCCCATAATCTCACCTGTGTTAGGGTTCCTGTGCACCTACAAGAAACTTTTGTTCAAGAGAAGCATGATGTATTTCTACAGGAAAAGTACTTTTTCATACGACCGACAAAGTACGTGTTACGCAAATGACAGTTTTGCAGTTCGAATTAACAAAAACGCTCGCTACTGGTAAAGGTCGGACCGATTATTTCCATATCACCATATGTCATTACAATATGATATAATACAAAGGGTACTGTAAAATTTTTGCAATATGACCTAATAAATGGTTGCAGGAGGCTGCATGCCACTGCATGTTGAGACATGTCCATGAGTGCATAGTAGCCGCCAGCAGCATGTCTGTTGATATAGTTGTTCATTCGTATTTACAGTGTTAAGTGCCGACTATGGCATCGTACGTAGTCAGTTAAGGGCAGTTTTACGGTATAACTTTACGCGAGGTTTAAGCATAGACCAGTGCTTAGAAGAAATGATGCTTGCATTAAAGAATGATTGTCCTCATCGTACGACTATATTTAGGTGGCTCCAAAGGGGCAATTTCACTCTGGAGGACGCTGACAGTGAAGGGAGGCCGCGAACGTCAGTAACAGAGGAAAACATTACTGCTGTGAGGAAAATGCTTGACGAATACCGGAGAGTGATATATAATAATAATATAATAATAATAAAGGGTCTTTATTGCACTAAACATTTAGTACATTACGAGGGGCGAGGTTTAGCGTGAGCTATTCTTCCACCTAACCTCCTCTATCAACAGATAGAGGAGACCTTACACCTTCATGCATCAGCAATTCATTCAATTCTGCATGACCATTCACACGTAAGGACACTTTGTTCTCTGTGGGTACCGCCTAGTCTGAAGGAAGAGCAGAAGACTCGTCGTACGACTTGGTGCCGAAAGATGCTGAAAATGTTTGATAAGGGGCAATCTCGGTATGTGAACAGCATCGTGACAGGTGACGACACTTGGCTCTATTATTATGATATGCCGACCAAGGTTCAAAACAAAGTTTGGGTCTTTGATGATGAGCACACACCGGTAGCTGTCAGAAAATCCCTATCTGTTAAGAAATAAATGATTGCTGTATTTTTCAAATCGAGCGGGATTGTGGAGCGTGTCATTTTGGACATACAGAAGACAGTCACAGCTAAGTGGTACACGGAAAAGTGCCTGCCCAAAGTCATAGAGTCTATGAAAAACCTGCGGCCAAAGTCAAAAATGGACACTTGGTACCTCCACCATAACAACGCTCCAGCTCACCGCGCCAAAGCCTGCACTGAGTATTTGACTACTACTGGACTGAAACTTACTGAACACTCTCCTTACAGTCCGGATCTTACTCCTTGCGACTTTGCACTGTGTCCGCATGTGAAAATGAAGCTAAAAGGAAAACGGTTTTCTAGCGATGAGAACCTTCTTGGGGCTTGGGACAACAGTATGCCGCACTCCCGGGTGAAACTTGGCCGAGCTGGTTTAAGCCCTGGTTTTGGCGGATGGAGACATTTATTGGATGTGGTGGAAATTACTTTGAACGAAGTCAATAAATAAAGCTGTATTGCAAGACTTTTATAGTACCCTTTGTAACATGTGTGCATATACTCTTTATCAATTTTACAATAATAGTATAGAAAAACGGCGTCACGTAGGTTTGACTCTGCACTTCCCACTCAACGTCCTCATCAGTACATAAAGGAATATGTTCAGCACAAACTAGACCCTCTGAGAACAAAATCAGTCAAACAGGTCCATACAATTAATCCATAGACATAGACAAGTTTTCAGGACTAATTTGTGAAATATATCTAATAGATGCGTAGAATTTCCAATTTTGGGAGCGTATAAATGTACCAAAGTTTGAGCTAAACCATAACCCCCCTGTCAACCCCCACCCCCAAGGATTTTACCTCTAGATTTTCTATAATAAATAAAATATAATATAATATATAATATCTAGAACAGTATTAAAGTACAACTAAGACCAAAGGTCCACCGGACCGCTCTGACGAATAATGACGAATACGAGGGTTGTCTTTTAAGTTTTGCATATGGAAATAAAACAACACGGTAGGTAGTTTTAAATGCCTATATTGTTTTTCGAAGTATGCTCCACGAAGATTAATACACATCTGCATGCGCTCGAACCAATTTTCTAAGCACTTATTCCACTCGTTTGCTGACAGATCCAAAACGGCATTTTTGAATGCGTCAACTGCTTCTTCTCGTGACTCGAATCTTTGACTACGCAGTCTGTTTTTAATTTTCGGGAAAGTAAAGAAATCGTTAGGACTTAGATCGGGACTATATGGAGGATGGTCCAATAATTCCACGTTTTCTTCCGTTAAATACTGTCTTGTTTTTTGGGCTGTGTGCTAGCTTGTATTGTCTTGGTGGAGGATGATTCTTCTTGCGGGGTTGATCTTTCGAAGCTCGGTGATGACTTTTGGCAATCAAATGGTGGTATACCAATCCGCAGTAACAGTCCTTTGTTCATTAAGAGGAATTGTTGCAATATGATCCGCTTTTGACGCATATGTCGTGACCATCTTTTTCAAAACACTTCGAGAATGGATGACTTTTGTTGGCTTTTCTTCACCTTGGAACACCCTAACAGCCGACTGTCGTTTATTTTCTGGTTCATAGCAGTAAATCCACGATTCATTACCACTAACAATGCTGTACACATTTTTTGACTTTCCGGAATTGAAACAGTCAAGCGTTTTTTGACACCAATTAACCCTGGCTGCTTTCTGATGAGTTTGCGCACAGCATCGACGTTTTCCTGGGTGACTACCGTTTTTTGTGCACCCACCCTGGGATCGTCGCTAAGACTCACCCATCCACGTTTGAATTCTCAATGCCAACGGGAAATTGTCGACTGATGTGGCGCTTCGTTGCCGAAAACATACAGTAACTCAGCAAGGCATTCTTGTTGCGATAATTGTCTCTAAAAGTTGTAATAAATTATGGCGCGAAAATGTTCAAGGTTGAGTTCCATTTTTCTAATGACTTGGTGACACTTAAAAATTCACTGTAGTGAGAACACTGCATGTATTGCTGTGAAACTTTGAATTAAGTTTACTAAAGAATGAGGTTAAGATTCAGTACTGACGTTCGATCCGTGCGGCCTACTATGTTTCTACGAGGCGTGTTTTTAAAGTAAGTACCGTTTTGACCTAAAAAAACAACAAGTAAATTTTGTCCAAAAATGATTTATTCACTTGAAAGGCCATACTTTACTCTACTTTTCTACGTAATTCCCATTACGCTTGAGGCATTTATCGTATCTTGGGACCAGCTTTTGTATGCCATCATCAAAGAAGCTTGCCGCCTGAGTAAACAACCACTGCTTCACATTTTTGGCACTCAGCGTGAACACAGTTTCCGATAATTTAAACGTTCGAACACAATTCGTAAAGAACACTTCTTGAGACAGCAGGAAACTGTTCAGCTAAGGACGAAATCGTGAATCGTCTGTTCTCTTTCACTTTACAGTCCACTTTTTGAATCAGGTCATCGGTAATGACTGAAGGTCTTCCTCATCTTTAAAGGCCCTAACCCATTTCCGCACCATTCCATCGCTCATAATGTTTTCACCATACACTTCACTGACTTGGTGATGAATTTCAACTGATTTGAAGCCTTGTGCACAGAGACACCGTATTACAGCACGCACTTCGCAGTCGGCGGGTTCACAATCGATGGAGGCATTTTAAAATCACGCAAACAGATGTAGACTCGATCGGATGGTTCCGTAACGGCGTCTGTGGCTACCCAACAGATGTAGCTACACGACACGCGTGCGCTAAACGGCGACCGCAGCGCTGCGGCGGCGTAATTTAAACACGGTACTTACTTTAAAAACACGCCTCGTATATGCAAAACTTAAAAGATATCCCTCATAGTATAGTATATTAGTATTAAAGTTTTGATGAGAAAACATATGTTTTCTTGAAACTGTAAGAGCCTGTAGTTCAAAAGTTAAGAGGTTTAGGACATATATATGTTCAAATAAACTTTTCTTCCTAAAATGAGCTATCTTGTATTTTAAGCCATCAATTAAATTACATCCTGTAGAAGGAGTTGAGGAGAATGACCTAAAATGAGTGGCATGGTGATTTGTGATTTACATATCATCCAGGTCCAAAGAGACATCACTTCTGGTTTCAGAATATTTCACTATTACAATATTTTCTGGCCAACCAATATCAAAAACAACACTAAGGGAATTGTGGTTGTAATGCATTATGCTCTTGAATTAATGATTCAAGGAAAATTTAATATGCTTTAGTGAAAGTGTCCCAAAAAATTAGATATATGCAAAAAAAATTATAAAAATAAGATTGTGATAACCCTGATGCCACAGTAGATGGTCTATAGCCCCCCTATCTTAATTTTAATGGTAGACACAGAAAAATACCCTCATCATATTCAAAAAGTCCAAGATTTTTTAGAATGCTGTTAACCTTTCGTTCCACAAAGCAGTTTTTGTCAGTGTGCCCCAGTTCTTCAGCCACTAGGGCACTTTATATTAAAAAATCATATTTTTCCAAAATTGAGTCAATTCCAGGAACCATGGTTACTATCATATTCTAGTGACCCCAGGATTTGATCAAACAGCGGTCATTTTAGAAAAGCAAGTGAGATCAGGATTAACTGAATCAATCATTTTTCTAAATGGGTACACTTTCCAATTAATTTGATAATTATTGATAGTCATATGACTTTAAATTTACAGTTTGCAACAGTTAGGCAGTTGGGCCTAACTGCCCTAGAGCCTTGGGAGCGGGTGTTTTAAATATTATAGCCAGGCTTGGAGAACAAAAATGTATTTTTAAATGAAAGCTTTTACCTTTAGTGTAGTGCATAAAGGAGAATTCTCATAGTGCAAAAGCTCAATAGGATTTGGTTTTCTAGGCCAAAACTCCTGATTCTTCTCATACTGGTGAACAGGAAGGTTTTCTGGACATAGAAGGTACTTCTTCAGTTCTTCTTCTACATCCAAGAAAATAGGTTGGGAATCCATTATGAAGCTTTGTTTTATTCAAAAATATCGTTTTCATTCATGAACATGTATGTTAAAAACCTAAAAAAAAACAAGGAAATTTGAATTTTGAGATGAGTTATGAGTTCACATAACCCTATATTCTTGACAGCTCCACTTGACAAATTGACGTGCGGTTGACGGTTGACGTAAATCTCCGTACGCGCATGCATAGTGAAATAAAGGAAGCCAACATTATAAAACCAAAAGAAAAAGGGCACCCAATAATAAATAATCCTTATAATTTTACGCACAAAGACTTTATAAAGTTTCTTTGCTGTAACACAAATATCTATCAAAGTCCAAGAATTAAAAAAAAAACTCTGAATTTAGTATCAGCATATTGAAATTTGAAGCAAATCGTCCTGGTTATTTTTGAAAATACCGTTGGATACCCTGTCAAAATTATAGTTGAATGGCCGACGACAACGGCCGGTAGAATTTTTGTGCAGAAAATAGGAAACTAAGGGAAGTCAAAGTTCTGGCTCATAGTTTACGAAATTCATCACATTTTGATCACAGGTAACTTTTATATCATTAACGAGCCTTCAAATAGAATTTGCTTGATCCCACAAGTTACTATCTAAATGTTTCCGCCTTTTTTGACCATTTTAGGATCATTGAAATGTCACTGCACCTGCACCCGATTTATTTATTTCGCCTTACGTTTGACTTGATTTTAATTCTTATTGTAATAAGCTACGGTCTTTTATATTATCTACCGGCACTTGAAAAAACGTTGCAAGTGTGGGCGTTTATTTTTAGATACAGCACGAGTAGATTTGTCAAAAGTGTTGTAACGGCATATTTCACACAAAAACTTTTCAGCTGGGGATTATCATTAATTAGGTGGAGCTACCTTATTATTATATAAAGTTGAAACCTTAATAGTTGCATGTTCTATTTTTAATATTGCTTAACATGGTTTACAAATCCCCCACTTCATTATCTCATTTTTATGTAGTTGTTTGATGAGTAATAGCATTCCATCAAGCAGTTACACATCATTTTCTAATTCAAGAGATTCTTGGTACCAGAACGAATTTTTATGGTATTGGTAGTGATATATCCTTTTTTGTTAGCCTCAGTTGGAAAGCGTCTTGAAAAATAGAAGGTATTGCTACTTGCAGTTGCAGATGTAATTTTTCTGCTACTCGATTTATTGTTGAATATTCTAACCAGAAAAGGATCCCACATAGAACATATGGGAATTTATGCCCTGCTGAAAATAATTTGAATTGCGTTTTTAATTTTGTAGTATATTGAGGCGCAGCGAGGACAAGAAGTTGTAAATTCATATAAATGTTAACGGGAAATTGATTTTATTTCTCTCAAATGTAAGGAAATATATGACTAATCAAGTTTACCAAGTTATGAAAGGAAGTAAACTAAACTTTCGAAGTTTTAATATATTTTTTTCGAAAAACAGGTCATTTTGTATATGGGGTATATATTTGGCATTTCAAAGTCAACCAAGAAAAATGCCTTATTTCATTTTGTTATTCATTATCTCAAGACTATGATATATGATACATATTTGACAGGACCAGATAGTGTTTTGATTTTGACAGCCTTAGTAGGTACCAGGGGAAAGTGTGTGGCCAGGGGAATCACATTTAAACTGGGGAAAAGATACTTTAAACATGATATAAATAACATGTTATTAAATAAATACGTACAATAGGTCTTTATTATAAATAACAGGTCTCCCGCTCCATCAGTCTTGAAACAAGAGAATCATATTGATCAGATATATAGCTCATAGACCCAGGCTACATTTTACTATTGACCAGTGGGAATCAAAATTTGCACCTATGGTACAAATTGGACCAATGAGGCATCTTTTTTGCACCCCAACTTATTAAAATCGGGGTAACAGTTGTTTGGAAACTAGGTGTGTTTTTATAGCAGGTTGCAGCCATTGCTTTCATGCTCCAGTCATACCAAATGACCTATATGCTCCATAAAGGAAAGTCCCAACTCTGAGGACAAGTACAGGACATTTTTCAAAGAAAAAACAACATACTTTTGCTATATCATTAAGTTAGGTAACACCTGCAAAGACTATTAAAAAAAATATCACTTCTGGTGCTTTTCTTATTGGAATATTTTATCACAAAGGTTCAGATGCACTGTACTTATATAGAAGTCTTAATGTTCAGTAGGGCAGAAATGTGGGAATTGTGGTTTTTGGTTTTACCGATCCAACGTCCATTGTTTTTTTTTTCAATAAAGAAAACGCATAACTTTTTACGTTCATTGGAAGTTATTTAGAAATAGAAGACGATGCGACATACGGATGACGTTTCTTCGCTTAGAATTTGTATCACATCACATCATGATAGTGTTTTTACTGTTTCATACTAAAAATAAAAAATATTTTTTCAAATTGGACGTATACAGGGTGAACAAATAGTGTGTGCTCAATATTTTCGTTACTATTAGAGTTGCAGAAAAAAGCTAAATTTAAAAGTTGTAGGCAGAGCTAAGGGCAACAACCTAAAATTATTTTTAGCTATACAGGGTGTACCATAAATTAGTGGCAATATAAACTTTTATTTTTTTAAATGGGACACCCTATATTTTTACACATACATTACCGAGCAAAAGTGGAGAATCATTTTATTTTTTTTAAAGATTTTATTAAACTCTTACAAGTGAACTAAACAATTATGTTTTGTTATAACTTGATGTAACATGTAATTCAAAGCCAACATGAAAATAAAATTTCTGCTTTAATAAAATTATACTATCAATTATTATTAGAAAATACAGCGAGAAAAAATAGAGAAACAAATATACAAAGCAATTGTCATGTACAAAGAAGCTAATACTTGGTTGCATAATCTTTATTTTTGATAACTGCTAGACATCTTTTTCTCATAGAATCAATTAGGCTATATATTGTTTCTTTCTGAATAGAATTCCAGGCGACTTCGATTGTTTCAAATAGTCGGTACTATTTTTGCACTTTTCCGGATGTTCAGTCCGAATTTTTTTTATCAACTACTCGTAAATTCCATAGGTTCTCTATGGGGTTAAGGTCTGGACTCTGAGCTGGCCACTTTAATGGCACTAATATTGTGATCTGCAAAAACTGGTTTTATTATTTTCGCTGTGTGCTTCTGGTCGTTGTTTTGCTGGAACCGCCAGCGTAGAGGCATGTTTTCTTCTGCGTAAGGTAGCATGGTATCAGTTAATATTTCCAAGTATTTGTACCGGTACATAATTCCTTCAATTTTGACGATGGGCCCCATTTGAAGACCACAGAAGCAACCCCATACTTGAACCCTCCCGCATCCGTGTTTGATTATACCCAAAGTGAACTTAGGATCAAATCGCTTGTTTTTAGGATGTCTTACCCATAAAATGCCATCGGATGAAAATAAATTAAATTTACTTTCATCAGAATATAATACAGAATTCCACCTTGTTTCTGACCAGTTCAAATGATTGTAAGTAAATTGAAGACGGGTGGTCCGATTTTTCTTGGAAATAAAGGGTTTTTCCTTGCTGGTAAATCACTCTCCATTAAACGTCTTCAAACAGTGTGGGCACCAATATTTACTTCTTCAAGTTGAGCTTTTATGTCGACAGCAGTAGTAAATGGATTTTTAAGAGCAGGTGTTTTAATTTTCTTATCAATCCTAGGTGTGGTTTTTCGCGGTCTACCAGTCTTAGGAGGGCTTACCAACGATTTTCTGAGGCGGAACAGCTTAATAGTTTTGCAAATTACCGATCGGCTTAAATTCAGCTGTTTGGCTATGGTTGCTTGTTTAATGCCTTATCGATATTTTAAAATAATCAATTGTTTTATTTGCAAATTCAATGTAATTCCTCTGGCCATGTTTTTGAACTACACTTTACCAAATACACTCAAAAATAACACCTATTCTAATCAACGACTAAATATGTATAAACTAAATATTTACAAAATGTTTCTCTACTATTGCTCGTTGAACAAAGAACCGACCATATTATATTGAAAAAAAAAACAATGTATACAAAGATAAGCATTTCATTATCTTGAGGTAGTCATACATAAAAAACTTTAGTGTACAGTTTTGGGTTAGAGTAAATCTTTCTGGATTTTTATTTGTAATGTGGTTTGTTTCTCTACTTTTGCTCGGCATTGTATTTCATTCGAGAAATACAGGTTGATTCAAAACAGAAAGATGTAATTTATTCGAAAAATTTAAATCAAACACCATGGATGTTATAACTATTCAACGCGTGTCGTAGTTCTCTTCCAGTTTTATCACGGCTATACTCCTATATCCAAATCTAGTATTTTCTGGGATATTCCATGTATTAGAAGTGAAAACCATAATTTTGGAATTATTAGGAAAATATCCGTCAGTTATGTTATTAATAAAACAAAAAAGTTCAATTAATTAAACACTTACAATGGCTACTATAATAAAAAACACTATATTTATGATTTATGATAATGATAATTGATAACTAACTAAATTTATTTATCTACTTAATTAATTGTTCAAAGTGCCCACCACCAGCGTCAATACAGGCCTGCAACCGACGTTCAAATGATTCGGCAGCATTTCTTAACACTTGGTGGTTAATGCTCTGAAAAACTTCCTGTATCCTGTCTTGCATATTAGCCCTTGAGAGAAAATAGTCCATCTTCGTTAAGTTGGGAGACCTGGGTGGCCATATGACTGGCCCTGCTCGTCCTATCCACCTCTGAATAAATTCAGTATTTAAATAATTATTTATTGTTTGTGTGTGATGTGTAGGAGCTCCATCATGAAGAATCCACATTATCTCTCTTACACGTTCTGGTGTACAGGGTTTGTCCGGAAAGTAATAGGACTCATTTTCTTCCGCCATGAATGTACCTCGGAGCGTGCGCTTCGACTGGATTCGGTAGAGGGCGTTCCTAGCGAACGAATGAGCGGCTGGTCAGTTGACTCCGAGCACTTGGAGAGTCAGGACAGGCATTTTCGCGCGACGTGTTTCTGTGAGTGGTGCAAGCCGAAAATGCAGCGTTCATTAGAGCAGAGGTACGCGATTAAATTCTGTGTGAAACTCGATAAATCTGCGACAGAGACGTTTGACATGATCAAGTAGGCTTACCCAGGTGTTGCTTTAGCAAGAAGTGGTGTGTTTCGGTGGCACCAGGCCTTTTTGGAGGACCGGGAAGAGGTCGCTGATGAAGACCGTGCTGGAAGACCTTCGACTTCGACAAAAACCGATAATGTGACTCGTGTGCGCAAAGTTTTGAACTCAGACCGTCGACTAAGTATTCGTTTAATTGCCCAGTTGTTAAATTGACCAAAATCTGGGTCCGACAAGACATCGCAGCCGACTGGAAGTTGCACCACGACAACGCCCCGGTTCACACCGCCTTTCTTATGAACACCTGACCAAGGCCGGCATCCCAACGCTTCCGCAGCCGCCCTACAGCCCAGATGTGCCCCCCACCCGACTTTTTTTTGTTTACTCGCCTGAAAAGCCCGATGAAAGGCAAGCATTTTGAGACGAAAGAGGGGATCCAAGCAGCATGCACCGCGGCTCTCAAGGCTATTCTGGAGAATGCCTTCCGTGACGCCTTAATGCTTGGAAATCGCGCTGGCAGCGCTGCATCGACGCAGAAGGAGCCTATTTTGAAAGTTTTTAAAGAATTGTAAAGATTGGCTCAATAAATTTTTTTAAAACGACTCAGTCCTATTACTTTCCTGTATCTCTTAATAGATGTGGTAAAATGTTTTCCAAAAAGTCCATATAAACTTGTCTGCTTAATGTAGCATTGAAAAAATGTGGCCCTGTAACAAAATTGCCAATTATGTCACTCCAGACGTTTAATGACCATCTTTCCTGGCTGTGCATTAACATCGCATAGGGCTGATGGCTGGAATTTTAGTGGAAATTGTGACACATCGATTTTTATGGAAAGTTGATTCGTTGCCGAACAGAACATTTTCAAAAAAACCTTGGTCACGTCCTCACTTAGCTCTTGGTGCAATTATATATGGTAGGTGTGCATTTTGTTTTTTTGAAGAATGCTGTGCACGGATGATTTGTTAATGTCTAAATCTTTTGAATTACGCAGCAAACTTACATGGGGATCTTCAGTTACGCCGTGCATAACTTGAAACACATTCCCTTACTGTGAAACTGGTTTCACTCTTTCTTTCTTCTCATATGCCTCACTTGCTGTACACTTGAAACGCTCCATAAGACTATCGAGAGTTTTCCTACACGGTTCTCTTCTGTCTGGGTGACGTTGATTATACAATCTTATTGCCAATAAAGAATTTTTGTCACTTGCTCCTAGCACATAAATCATATCAACCATTCCTTGTGTTGAAAAATTCATTTTATTTCTAAGCAAAATTAATACAAGCAAAACTTTACTACTGAACTCTACGATGACAGGTTTGTCAAAAAAGCATGCCCAACCTATATTTTCCTCATAATTCCAATATTATTATGGTTTTCATTTGATACATCTCAAAAATACTAGGTTTAGGTATAGAAAATACTTGATAAAAATGAAAAGGCATCAAAAGACCCGTTGACTAGAGATATGACATTCAGGATGTTGCATTTAAATTTTTCGAGTATATTACATCTTTCCGTTTTGTGTCACCCACTTTGCCTCGGGTGAAACATGTACCTAAAAACATTGGATATGAATGTCTACCAATGTTTCAATCATTCAGTATAATAAAACAGATCTTATTTAAAGTGTGTTTGAAATACGGGAAGTCAGATGTACAATGGTTTTAACGAAAAAGTGGCCATATATTCAGAAATACCCAGTACAGACCCCCGAAACCATACATTGGCAGAATGGCCAAGAACAGGCGGTTCTAAAAATCAACATAAATACAGGGTGTCCCATTTAAAAAATACAAGCTTATATTGCCACTAATTTAAGGAACACCCTGTATCGTTAAAAATAATTTTAGGTTGTACCGCTTAGCTCTGTCTACAACTGTTATATTTAACTTTTTTCTGCAAATCTAATAGTAACGAAGATATTGAGCTTTGACACACTATCCATATTAGTCAGAGAACTAGTGACACACGTTTCAAGTGTTTGATTCACCTTAAAATTCTGTGTTATAGTATATAATGGATAGATGAGCAGGTAAGCAAGTGTTGGCTTGCCCTACCTGGGGACACCAGGTACTGCGCATACGAGAAAGGTGTACAAAAAATTTGCCCAAAAAAGTGTTTGTTTCAGAGACCAACAAGCAGAAATTGAAATTTAAAATCAAGTAAAACACAAACATTAATAAGGCAGGCACTTTTGAGGGGGTTAACATTTAATAAAAAGAGCCCAAGTTGTTTATTTCTTAAAATACAAAATGAAGTGTTTTATTCATGAGACTCACGTTCCTTTCGCATTCCCCTTCCATTTTTATGGAAGAGTAGCTTACTTCAAAATGTACATTCACAGATATCCAATTTATATATTTTGTTATAAATAATAATTTAACAAATTTATACGCGCATTAAAAGGAATCACAAGAACATGTGCTCACAACAACGGATGAACTACTTATTAAAAATGTACAAGAACACGTGAGCCACATCCAATGAGAGCGCAGAGAAAGACCGTAGCTACGTCGGTAATCGGTCGTCTCACTCCCATCCACGACTACGCGCTGCCTGTCTCTCTCTCTCTCTCTCTCTCTCTCTCTTGAAATTAATATTTATTTTCATGTTTTCCAATAATTAAACCCCCAAAAAAGTGTCTGCCTTTTTGTAATTATTTTTTATAATATGAAATTGAGACACTGTTAAGATGTCAGCGTGAATAAAACACTTCATTTTGTATTAAAAAAAACAACTTGGAGGTGTTTTTATTAAATGTTAACCCCCTCAAAAGTGTCTGCCTTATTAATTTTTGTGTTTGAGATTTTAAATTTCAAGTTCTGGTATCCCCAGGTAGGGCAAGCTAACACTTGCTTACCTGCTCATCTATCCAATAGATACTATAAGCCAAAATTTTAAGGTGCATCAAACACTTCATGGAACGTATGTTACTAGCTCTTACACTATATATTCATCTTGTGCTTTTAAAAATTGAAATACAAATACTGTAAGAAATACTCATTTATTCCATGAAATTTGATATGTGTCAAGTAGCCAATTTTCAGAGTGGTTCAGTGGTATTACAAAAAAATCAATACCTTATGTTCCAGATATGGCTGTAAATGTTTATGCCACAAATGTCACAACCGAAAATTTGTCTCGCCATGATATGCTGGCATGGGTAAATGAATGCTTGCAAAGCAATTTTGGCAAAATTGAAGAACTATGTACTGGTGCAGCATACTGTCAGTTTATGGATATGCTTTTTCCTGGATCAGTCCAGCTGAAAAGGGTGAAGTTTCGGACAAATTTGGAACATGAGTACATTCAGAATTTCAAGATACTGCAGGCTGGCTTCAAGAAAATGAACGTGGACAAGGTAAGGCCCAAGGAATATCGAGTTGAGACTCATCTGTTCTAGGATATTTAAAATTTAATGCTTTCTAAAATGTAAGACTCTTTGATGTCATCTAAAATTAATCTCATTTGCGGCGCCCGTTATTCTGAAATATTTAAAGTCAATGAAGTCAGTGTATTTAGCATAAAATGACAAAACCATGGAGACAGACGATTCTCAAATTGGAAATTAACTGGAATGTGAGCTTTTTTTACAGGAACATGTTATCAAAATGGATTTATTATATTAGTGTTTTTACAGAAACAAAAGAAATATTGCCATATAGATGCTGTTATGATTATCATGTTAGCTGTTTAATGGCAAGTGATATGAAAAGTATTTCTTTTCGTACCAGGTGTGCCTTTTTTCAAGAATATTGAATGTAAAATAGCGATACAAGCGAAATGAAAGGCATGGTAATAGTTATGTGCTAAGAAAAAATCAGTCCTTACCCCACCTGAAACAATTGACCTGTGTCGATAGAATGAAAGCTGTGGAAATTCACAATATTTTCAAAAACATTTTTTATACTGGATGACAATGAAAATTGGAAACACACTTTTTTTTGCCAAATAAAGATATCGCTCCAAGATTGGGACATGTTTAGTTAATATTGAGGCATTTCTGAAAAGGTGAATGGGTTACCTCTCCCTTCCGGTTTAACTGGAAGTGACCTTGGCTTTCGTTTTCCAAATGGAAACCTGTATATTTTCTTCCATAATCATACTGTATGCAAAGTTCCATTTCCAACGATATATCACAAGTGACATTTTCGTTTTAAAATGGAGGCGCTATAAAGGAATTTGTGAATAACCTAAAATCCGCTATATTGCTTACAAGAAAAAATATTTTAAACTATCAAGGTGGCGTGATCAACAAATGTCTATTAAAACGGGCTAAATAATTGAAAGCTTGCAATTATGTGCTTTTCATCTTAGTATACTTATTTAAAAAAATCATTAATCCACATCTTCAACGCAGGATTTCTGATAGATTTTAAATAGGACCCTGTATACCTTTTTCAGAAATCTTATTCTACGTAAAGTTGACTATTCAATGATGTATAACAAGTATTAGTTTTGTTAAATTACAGCTGCATAAAAGAATTTGTGAATTAACCTCCCTAAGCTTTAGGTATTATAAAACAAAAAGTAGTTTTATTATTGGCTCTAAATAAAAACGCATTTCCAATAGCATTCTGCAAGCTACTATTGTAGTAAATTTAATTTGTTACTGAAGCGATAGTATCTTGCGGAACATCATAAGAAATGCGTTTTCATTTAGGGTCAATAATTAACAACCTACCTTTTGTTTTGTAATACCTATAGCTTATGTAGGTTAATTCACAAATTTTTTTATGCAGCTGTCATTTGACAACAAAAGTAACACTTCATTAAATAGAGAACTTTGCGTAGAATATGATTTCTGAAAAAGGTATGCAGGGTCCTGTTTAAAATGTATCAGAAATCATGTGTTGAAGATGTGAATTCCTGATTTTTTTTTCAAATAAGTATACTAACATAAAAACACATAATAACAAGCTTTCATTTATTTATCCCGTTTTAATAGATATTTTTTATTTTTTGTCTTGGAGTCATGGCGGATTTTAGGTTATTCATAAATTCTTTTATAACGCCTCTATTTTAAAACGAAAATGTTACTTGTGATACATCGTTGGAGTACGATTATGGAAGAAAATATACAGACCTTCATTTGAAAAATGAAAGTCAACGTCACTTCCGGTTAAACCGGGAGGGAGAGATAGCCCATTCAACTTTCCAGTAGTGCCTTTTAATGGATAACTAAATATGTCCCAATCTTGGAGTGATATCTTTATTTGCCAAAAAAATACAGCGTGCTTCCGATTTTCATTGTCACGGTCCATAATAAAAAATGGTGGCGTCTCAAAAGAAGTGACTTGTCCTCGACAGGACCTTGAAGGTTATGGTATATCATGGAAACGCTTCATAGGATTGTTGAGCGCCCATGAGAACTGTTGATCAGGATGCTCTGGAGAGCTTATTCCCAAAGTTTGAGCAAGATTCACCGGCGACTGATTTCTGTAAGGTTTGTGTTCCCTCCTCTCCTCAGCTTTCAGCGATACGGATCTTTTTACAGTTGAACGGCAATATTTTCAAATCATCATTTGTTTCAGGCGGGGGTGATGATTGATTTTTGTTTCTGATGCTATTACGAAAGTGGATCAAATATAAACCGGGATTTTACAAATACTTTTCTTAGCCAATCACGAGCGCTCCCACAGTATAGCTCTTTGCAGTGTAGTGTATTACGCGTGGGGATACCGCATGGTGAGCTGTTCCACTCAGTCAATCCGTCAGTACAGCTATGCGTAAGCAACCGCCGTCCGTTGCGCAACGAGTTGTAATAAAGTTTTTGACGAAGGAAGGCGTTAAACCGTGCGAGATTTTGGCTCGATTGAAGGCTCAGTATAGGGATGATATCCTCTCTAAAACTCAGATATTCGATTGGGCCAAACACTTTAAGAGTGCACGAGAACGAGTAGAAGATGTGATAATCGACGTCCAAGATCAAGTGTCTCTGGTGACAACATTGGTGCTGTTCGTGACCTTATTGAAAGTGACACACGGCTCACTATTCATAAAGGCGCCTTAGAAGTGGGGGCTAGCTTTGGAAGTAGTAGGAGACATCTGAATCGATTTCAGTGACAGAGAGAGACTTTTTTGAATCATATCGTGACGTGTGATGAAACATGGGTGAATCATTACACTCCCGAGTCTAAGATGGCGAAGGAAAGACGAAACCGGTCCCGTGAAAGCCGGTAAGGTCCTCGCGACCGTCTGTTTCTACTGCAAGGGAGTGTTGCTCATTGATTTTCTATACGACCGACGTAAGGTTAATGCTGCCTACTACTGCCAGCTGTTGGAGGCAGCGAAAGCCGCATGCGGACACAAACACGCGGTGTCCCCATCAGAAATGTCATTCTTCTTCATGACAATTCCAGGCCCCATTCATCCGCTGTAAATGAAGCAAAAACAGGATGATATGCATTGGGAAAACTCTTGAGCATCGTTTATAAAGCATAGATTTGTCGCCCTGTGACTATCATTTGTTTGCGCTTGCAAGATGCACTTGGAGGATTGCGTTTTGACAACGATCGAGATGTGGAGAACTTCGTGTGCAAATGGTTGGTAACTCAACCTCCAAGTTTCTACAAGCAAGGAGAAAAATGTGGAACGTGGAGCAGATTACATAGAAAAATAATCAACAGCATTTTTGTATTGCTTTATGAATAAATAAATATTAAAAAAGAATTCCTGCTTATATTTGGTCCACCCTCACAACTAGCACCATGCCAAGTTTCAGCCTACTGTTAATTTTTCTGACCTCAAAACTCATGATGATTGGACTGTGTGTCTGTCTAGAGTTAGTTTTTAATTGATGTCGGCCGTGATTGTAGATAATCCCGGTCGACAAACTGATAAAAGGGCGTTTCCAAGACAACTTCGAGTTCCTGCAGTGGTTTAAGAAGTTCTTCGACGCGAATTACGACGGTCGCGACTATGACGCCCTGGAGGCCAGGGGTGGCATCCTGCTTGGCTCGGCGGCAAACAACAATAGCGGAGCGGGGCTGGTGCCCGCCCACCATAATCCACACCATGCGGTGCCCGCCCACCATAATCCACACCATGCGGTGCCCGCAGCCAAGCCCGCCTCGAACATACACCAAAGGGAAAGGCAGGGTAGTTACGGTTGCGTCATATACGACTGGGTGTGCTGGGCGTTCAGATATCTTTTGTCATGATTTTAAATGTGTAGATGACTAAAATTCATGTTTTCTCTTTACTTAGGCCCGTTTTTGCTATTGACCCACGCTATCTAAAATCTTGAGCCGGATCTTAATGGGCCAATATAAATAGAAGGCGTCTTTGTAGTAATGGATCAAATGAATATAGTCGATTTCTTCTAAAATATCTGGCAAACTAGCGAAAAAATATACGAGTTGTGTAAGAAAGGCCTCTAATCCCCATATTAAATCAAGAAAGTCTTTATAAATAACCTGGTTTGAATTGTATGAATCATGAAATTAGAGGCATACGGGCCACGATAAGGACCCGGCTCATAGGCAAGTTGTGCACCTTTATATTCCTTAGACCTCAAGCCTCGCCAGACTAGCAAAGTTGAGTATGGCCTTGAGTCCAAGTTCCTTAACGTTGTGGTGGTGCAAAATGATGGACCCTAGTATAGACTGCCTGTAGTAGCGCAGAGCCTCACAGCGACACAGAACGTTCGCCGAGGTCTCTTCCTCTACCCCGCAGCGCTCACACAAGGGATCCTCAGCCACCGCCATCACGTGAAGGTGGCGCCTTAGCGTGTTATGACAACAGTCACACAAGTAACTTTAGGTTGGCTCTATCCAAAGATAAGCAAAAAAGTCCATCCTTAGCGCTGGACCCTACAATAAGTTCCGGTGCCTGACGGAGATGTCTGGAGATGCTTCTCCATTTCTGAGAGTGTTGTCTTGCAATCGACTTCTCCATTTTTCTGATAACTCTTTGCGCGGATACCCCTAAAGCTGGCACAGGACCAGCGAGCTTGCTGGCTGATGCTGTCTTCGCCAAAGCGTTCGCCGTACCATTGCATACTATGCCAGCGTGCCCCGGTACCACAATATCGAACCGAATGCCTCGCTGCTAGAGCCTCCCTGCATTTCAATACAAGGCTCGAAGTAATCTTACAGGCACTTAGTGCCTTCATTGCAGCCTGACTGTTGAAGAATGCGGAATACACAAGTCAGAATCGCAAAGATTTCCGCCTGGAAAATAGTGGTGTATCCACCAAGAGGCCAAGAGCCCAGAGGCTGCGGCGCCAGAGCCCTCGTCGGTGACCGAGTCGTCCGTGTACCAGACACGCCCACTCACTCCGCAGACCTTCCGGCTACCGGAGGCCCACTCCGCCCTCGCTGAATACTACACATTAAACTTGCGGTTGAAGCGACATTT